CCCACGGTGGGTGCCAAACTGTTTACCATTAAAAAATGGATAACAATTGAATTTATATGCGGTTTTAAGAATATGTGGACTAATTCAATACAAGTGATTAATGACGTTAGATAAGCAAATAAAAAACTAGAATAAATAGCCAAACTAGTAATGATACTATAATACTTTATATTCAAGTTGGGGTATTTTTGTCATTTAGTATTACTTAAACCAGAAAAAACCCTAGCTAGTTAATTGTGCAAAATCCCATTGAATAATCACGGGAAAACAAAGAAACAAAAGGTTAAGAAAGGCAAAAACAATAGAAGCTAAAAAATGAAAGAAAGAAAGAAAGAAAGAAAANTACAGTGGTTACCGAGCTTATTACTGAATTATTAATTATATTATACTACAAGAAAGTGTGATGAGACTGGAAATTATTGATTGTTTCTGAAAGAGCATTTTTATGTTATTTTCTGTTTGAGCTACTAGCATGTTTTCTGACTTGTCACCAATAAAAGCAATTGTGGTTAAGCGTTATTACTCACTGAACTAGCAACTCATTCCCCGCTAATTATTTTCAGAGATAGCAGTTGACGCGGGCGAGGATTTCATTAATTAGAGCGCACAGATTGATAGTTCTCGGTGAGCCTCGCATTTGTTCGCATGGGCAGAGATTTTTATTTATTTTTATGGTCTTTCTTTAATTCTTAGAGTCTCTCCATAGTCATTATTTTAGTATCATGAGTATTCTTTTGTTATTATAGTCTTATATTGAGTATCGTTCTCATTTATCAAAGTTGGAGAAAAATTAGTATTTCTTGTGGTTAGTTGGTGGTTTAGTTATGGTGGAGACTTGTATTGGTTAACTGACAAGTTGTCAATTGTTTGGTATGATATTAGGATATTTGGTTGCTGATTTGAGACAGTAAAATTTTTTGGGATAGTCAAAAAACAGGGGAAACTCTTTACGATTTTCTGTAAAATACCGATGAGGCTTACTTGGGGGCACTTGCTCCTAGGTGCTGGTCATGATCCTAAATTGGGTCGTGGCAAAGTTAGTATCAGAGCTTAGGCTTTAAGCCCCGAGCCATGGAGCAATTTTTAGTAGAGTCTTGTTCATGGGTGTGTAGGCACCCATACTTATGATCTTGAGGCTACTGAACATCTAGGAATGTTTTCCCTTCTTTCATTCTTTGATCATGAGTTGAGATAACTTGAGATTGACCTTGGAATATTTCTTTCGCAGATGGTTAGGACACACACACCCTCATCTGCTAGATGTGGCCAGACGTGGTACTATCCGGGGTGGCGGTCAATTTGGGGTTCATCAAACTAGAAGACAGACTGCTCCCCAGCCTGAAGTTGGGAATATGGGTCAACCCTAAGCTGCTATGCCAAATCAAGTGCAAGGGTAGGGAGTTCAGGACACTCCACCACTAGTGCCAACTATTGTACCTACTGTTGCCTTACCTGCAGATGCACTGGCAAGGTTATTGAATGTGTTAGAGGCATTGGTGCCTGCTCACGGTGGAAGTTTAGCTCCTCAGGCTACTTTCCAAACACAAGCACCTGCACAGACTCAGACTTTCGGGATTAAAGAAGTATCCCTACAAGAGTTTCTGAAATTGAAATCACAAAAATTCACATGTTCTGATAATTTAGCAGATTCTCAAAGTTTCTTGGATGGGACACTCAAGGCATTACGTGCTCTTAGATGTTCTAGTGAGAGAGCCGTGGAGCTCGCAGCATACAAACTAGAGGATATGGACAACACATGGTATGAAACTGTATTGCTAGGAAGGCCAGTAGGAGCAGTGCCACTAACATGGGATGAGTTCACTAAGTTGTTCAAGAATCATTTTCTTCCAAACAGCCTGATGCAAAAATATGCTAGAAACTTTGAGAGATTGGTTCAGACTCCAGATATGGACGTGTCAACATAAAACACTAAGTTTTGTAAGCTGGCTATATATACTCCTTACTTAGTGCCTACCGAAAAAGCTCGAGTTCAAAGGTTTGTTGATGGATTGTTTGGTCATCTATACACTGCAGTAGCCCCATAGATGAAGACTTTATCCTACACTGATGTAGTTAACCTTGCTAGAAAGATTGAAAACAAAGGACATGATGAGCATGTAGCTAGTGATTTACGTAAGAAGGACAAGATAGAAGGGGCTTTAAGTGGCGGTTTTAGTGAAAATAGAAGAGCAGGAAATCAGGGACAACAACAACAGGGTTCTCAGACAGGGACACACATGTCTTCATAGTCCATATACAAACCACATTCCAGACAAAGGTAATAGGGGACCATCATCTTCTGGGCATCGTAATTCTGGGCAGATATATGCCACTACTCCAGTCTGCCAGACCTGTGGTAGATCACATTTGGGCCAATGTCGTGTTCTAACTGGAGAGTGCTTTCGGTATGGCCAGTTGGGACATCACTTGAGGGATTGCCCTCAGCCTCTGAGAAATTTCAACCAGGCTTCTATTCAATCAGTCGCACTGACTCAAACTACTCATAATACTTTAGGTGCTACATGTATAGGAAATAGAGGTCGAGGTGCTGGAGACCGTGCTACTGTGAATCAAGGACAAAGGAATGCTGGTAGAGATCATGCGAGAGTTTTTGCATTTACTAGACATGCTCAGGCCTCGAATGATGTGGTTACATGTATTCTTTTTGTCTGTTCATTTGATGCACTTGCGTTGATTGATCCGGGATCTACTCACTCCTATGTGTCCTCGTACTTTGCTTTGAGGTTTAGTAGATAACCTGAGTTATTGAATGATCCTTTTCTAGTTGCTACTCCTATTAGAGAGTCTCTATTAGATGAATATGTGTATCGTGCTTGTCAGATTCCGGTTGAGGGTAGAGATACTCTAGCTGACCTTATTGTACTTGATATGATTGACTTTGACATGCTTATGGGAATGGACTGGTTATTTTCTTGCTATGCTATAGTCGATTGTCATGCAAAGATAGTTAAGTTTGAGATACCAAATGAACCCAGTTTTATTCTAAGAGGGAGTCAAGTTCCAGAGACTTGCAAAATTGTATCTTTTATAAAGGCTCAAGGACTTCTAAAGAAAGGCAGCTTGGGTCTCTTAGCTATTGTAAATGATACAAGAAAGGAAATAGTTAGTATATAAAATTTACCATTAGTGAGAGAATTTTCTGATGTAATTCCTCAGGATTTACTAGGATTACCTCCAATATGAGAAATAGACTTTGGTATTGATTTGCTACCTGACACACAACCCATATCGATACCCCCATATCGAATAGCACCAACAGAGTTAAGGGAGCTAAAGGAGTAGTTACAAGATTTGTTAGATAAGGGTTTTATTAGACCTAGTGAATCACCATGGGGTGCACCAGTACTGTTCGTAAAGAAAAAAGATGGATCCCTGAGAATGTGCATTGACTACAGGCAGTTGAACAAGATAACAATATGTAATAAATATCCTTTTCCTCGTATAGATGACATGTTTGATCAATTACAAGGAGCTGCCCACTTTTCAAAGATTGACCTCCATTCTGGTTATCATCAACTTAGGATCAAAGATGAAGATATTTCTAAGACTTCTTTCAGAACTCGATACGGGCACTATAAGTTTCTTGTGATCCCTTTCAGACTGACAAATGCTCCAGCTACATTCATGGATTTAATGAATAGGGTGTTCAAGCCGTTTTTGGATAGATTTGTAATAGTATTTATTGATGATATCCTGATATATTCTCGTAGCCAAGGAGAACATGAGAATCATCTCAGGACTGCATTGCAGACATTACGAGAACATCAGCTTTATGCTAAGTTCTCGAAGTGTGAATTTTGGCTAGACTCGGTAGCATTTCTTGTATATGTTGTGTCCAAAGATGGAATTCTAGTAGATCCTAAGAAGACCGAAGTTATGCAGAAATGGCCCAAACCTACTTGTCCTACAGAGATTCCTAGCTTTTTAGGCTTAGCAGGCTATTACAGGTGTTTTGTGCAAGATTTCTCCTGAATAGCAACGGAAGACCAAGCTAACACAGAAAAATGCAAAGTTTCAGTGGACGGGGGAATGTGAACAAATATTTCAAAAACACAAAACATGTTTGGCAACTGCACCAATATTAGCCTTACCATTAGGTTCTGGAGGATTTACAATAATTTGTGACGCCTCGAGGATGGGATTAGGATGTTATCATGCAAAATGGTCGTGTTATAGCTTATGCTTCAAGACAATTGAAAAAGCATGAGTAAAACTATCCTACACATGATTTGGAGATGGCTGCAGTGGTACTTGCTCTAAAAATTTGGAGGCATTATCTATACAGCGAAACTTGTGAGATTTATACTGACCATAAAAGTCTGAAGTATATCTTTCAGTAGGGAGATCTGAATCTTCGGCAGCGTCGGTGGATGGAACTACTGAAAGACTATGATTGTTCTATTTTATATCATCCTGGAACAGCCAATGTGGTGGCTGATGCATTGAGTAGAAAATCTATGGGAAGTTTGGCACATATAGCTCCTACAAAGAGACTTTTGGCCAATGACATTCAGAGACTAGAAGATACAGGTATCAGATTTAGTGTCGGAAATTCAGAGGCATTGTTGGCTTGTGCTCAGGCTAAGTCTTCATTAGCTGAGTGCATTAAGGCCACCCAATATGATGATGAACGATTATGCAAATGCAAGGATGAAGCCTTAGCTGGTCAAAGCAGGGATATAATTATTGAAAGTGATGGTGTTCTTTGAATGGGTGACAGGCTATGTGTAGCAGAAGTAGATGGGTTAAGACATGCTATTCTTAAAGAAGCTCACAACGCTAAATACACTATACATCCTGGATCCACAAAAATGTACCATGACCTGAAGCAATTTTATTGGTGGGAAGGTATGAAGAAAGATGTTGCTAACTTTGTTTCTAGTTGTTTGACTTGTTAACAGGTCAAGGCTGAGCATCAGTGACCCGCATGACTACTACAACAAATTGAGATTCCAAAGTGGAAATGGAAAAGAATTACTATGGATTATGTCACCGGGCTACCACGAACCCTTAGAGGTTATGACTCTATATGGGTGATTGTAGATCGACTGACTAAATCAGCACAGTTTTTGCCAGTGAAGACTACATATGGTGGAGTAAGGTATGCACAAATATTTATGAACAAAACTGTCCGACTTCACGAAGTTCCAGTATCCATTATCTTTGATAGACGATCACAGTCCACTTTACGATTTTGGAAATCTTTTCAAGAAGTATTGGGTACACGATTAGATCTTAGCGCCGCATTTCATCCACAGACAGACGGGAAGTCGGAATGTACTGTACATATCTTGGAGGATATGTTAAGAGCTTGCGTTCTTAAATTTGGAGGTAGTTGGGACACTTATCTACCGTTAGCTGAATTTGCTTACAACAATAGCTTTTAGTCCAGTATTAAAATGGCACCGTATGAAGCACTGTATGGTAGAAAGTGTCGTTCTCCTATCGGATGGTGAGACTAACTTATTGGGACTGACCTATTACAAAAAGCTATAGACAAGGTCCAATTGATCAGACAGAGATTGCTTGTAGCTCAAAGTAGACAAAAGTCTTATACTGATAAGAGAAGAAGAGATTTAGTGTTCACAACAGGGGACAAAGTGTTCTTACGTGTCTCCCCTATGAAAGGTGTGATGCGTTTTTGGAAAAGAGGCAAGTTGAGCCCCAGGTTTATAGGACCGTATGAGATACTAGACCGAGTGGGAGCGGTGGCTTATTGTTTGGCACTTCCTCCTGAGTTATCTTTTATTCACCCAACATTTCATGTCTCAATGCTAAGGAAATATATATCATACTCATCTCAGGTGCTTGAAGCACTTGCTATACCTCTTGATGAAAAGTTGTCTTACGAGGAAGAACCGACAACTATTGTTGATAGGCAAGTAAGAAAACTACGGTCAAAAGAAATTGAGTTCGTAAAAGTTTTATGGCGAAATCATACAGTTGAAGAAGCTACTTGGGAAATAGAATATACTATGCGAGTCAAGTACCCCCATTTGTTTCAGTCCACAAGTATGTACTTGAATTAAAATTTGGGGACCGAATTTCATACGGTGGGGAAAATGTAACACTTCATATTCAAGTTGGGGTATTTTTGTCATTTAATATTACTTAAACTAAAAAAAAACCTAGCTAATTAATTGGGCAAAAGGCCATTGTATAGTGACGGGAAAACAAAGAAACAAAAGGTAAAGAAAGTCAAACACAATAGAAGCTAAAAAACAAAAGAAAGAAAACGAGTCTGCTTGAGAAAACGCACAAAAAGGATTTCAAAAGGGGAAGAATAAGAAGAAGAAGAAGAAGAAGAAGAAGAAGAAGAAAAAGGCTGGAACCAAACCTTGAGAAATCTTAAATACGCACTGGTTTTTACTGGTAATACTCGAATTTCTCAGTTGGGTTCTTTCTTCTAGTAATTCTTTTTATCTCAGTTCATATATTTTAAGGGTTTCACAAGGTATAAGAAATTAAATAACAATAAGAATTATTTTGGGTAAATTAAGAGTCAAACATGAAACCTCGAGGGTTGGGTATTCTAAATTAGCCATGAATTATCCTAAACAAGAAAATTAACATGAGATCGATGTTGATGTGGTTATAGCTTGATTGAAGAAAGTTGTACAGATTGCTCGAGGTGACGAGTTTGGTATTTCACACGAGTACTGTAAGTAGTAATCTTGTCGCAATTTTTGTTTTCATAACCTGCATGATTTACACATAATTTTTATATGAATATGTTACCGATTAATTTGAGCTACTTGTGGGACAAGTCTTTTACTCGATATAATACCGAAATAGTTTTTTGACATGATTGTTGTTGTTTTAAATATTCTTGATGTCACTAGATATGTTTTACCGTTACTTGAATTTATTGTTATCGAAATGAAATTACAAGATTTGATAAGAACTGAAATGCCCTATGTTGTTTTAAAAAGTTTCTACGAGTATATACGGATTATAAAGACAAGTATAAATGGGAGTAGACATTGAAGGATCCCGTAGCTAACGGCGGATTCCTTAGACCTGGTGCACCTTATATTTACCGATTACAGAGTACAGTTATAGCCCTCGCTAGTAGAAAGGTAGAACTAACATACCGTTACCGATTTCCCTCGAGTAGGGACTACCGTTATATATGACTTCTTGCAAAGAAGTCCACAGTTATACCGATTACATGATCCGATCATTGAAACCTCCCAAAATGTGAATACTGATATTATACAGTGGCTACCGAGCTTATTATTGAATTATTAATTATATTATACTACAAGAAAGCGTGATGAGACTAAAAATTATATATTGTTTCTAAAAGGGCATTTTTATGTTATTTTTTGTTTTCGATACTAACATGTTTTCTGACTTGTCCCCAATAAAAATGGTTGTGGTTAAGTGTTATTACTCACTGAGCTAGCGACTCATTCCCCGCTATTTTTTTTCCAGAGACAGTAGTTAACGCGGGCGAGGATTTCGTTAATTAGAGCGCACAGGTTGATAGTTCTCGGTGAGCCTCGCATTTGTTCGCGTGGGCAGAAATTTTTATTTATTTTTATTGTCTTTCTTTAAATTCTTAGAGTCACTCCATAGTCATTATTTTAGTATGATGAGTATTCTTTTGTTATTATAGTCTTATATTGAGTATCGTTCTCATTTATCAAAGTTGGAGAAAAATTAGTATTTCTAGTGGTTAGTTGGTGGTTTAGTTATGGTGGAGTCTTATATTGGCTAATTGACAAGTTGTCAATTGTTTGGTATGATATTAGGATGTTTTGGTTGCTTATTTGAGATAGGAATTTTTTTTGGGATAGTCGAAAATAGGGGAAACTCTATCCGATTTTCTGTAAAATACCGGCGAGGCTTGCTTTGGGGCACTTGCTCCAAGGTGCCAGTCATGATCCTAAATTGGGTCGTGACAAAGTGTAGAACTAGCATGCCGGTACTGATTTTCCTCGAGTAGGGACTATCGTTATATATGACTTCTTGGAAAGAAGTCCACAGTTATACCGATTACATGATCCGTTCATTGAAACCTCCTAAAATGTGAATACTGATACTATACAGTGGTTACCGAGCTTATTACTGAATTGTTAATTATATTATACTACAAGAAAGCGTGATGAGACTAAAAATTCTTTATTATTTCTAAAAGGGTATTTTTATGTTATTTTCTATTTGAGATACTAACATGTTTTCTGACTTGTCCCAAAATGGTTGTGGTTAAGGGTTATACTCACTGAGCTAGTGACTCATTCCCCGCTAATATTTTTCCAGTCACTAGTTGATGCATGCGAGGATTTCATTAATTAGAGCGCACAGGTTGATAGTTCTCGGTGAGCCTCGCATTTGTTCGCGTGGGCAGATATTTTTATTTATTTTATGGTCTTTCTTTAAATTCTTAGAGTCGCTCCATAGTCATTATTTTAGTATCATGAGTATTCTTTTGTTATTATAGTCTTATATTGAGTATCGTTCTCATTTATCAAAGTTGGAGAAAAATTAGTATTTCTAGTGGTTAGTTGGTGGTTTAGTTATGGTGGAGACTTATATTGGCTAATTGACAAGTTGTCAATTGTTTGGTATGATATTAGGATGTTTTGGTTGCTGATTTGAGACAGGAATTGTTTTTGGCATAGTCGAAAACAGGGGAAACTCTATCCGTTTTTCTGTAAAATACCGGTGAGGCTTACTTTGGGGCACTTGCTCCAAGGTGCCAGTCATGATCCTAAATTGGGTCGTGACAAAGTGTAGAACTAGCATACCGTTACTGATTTTCCTTGAGTAGGGACTATCGTTATATATGACTTCTTGGAAAGAAGTCCACAGTTATACCGATTACATG